ATAAATATATTGACTTCGCCATCGCACTAAATAATTTAATTTACACGTGTTTTCATGCGATGGCCAAGTCAATATATTTATGTAAAACGTTAAAGATTTCCTGGCCTGGACTTGGTATTACATGGATCTCACAACTTTTTACCGTAGAACAACTGAGTTGCGAGACTTGGTTTTTTTGACAAGTATTGTTTTTGATGGGATCTCATTTCTTTTTGTATTTTGTAGACAGCAGTTATGTATCTAGAAAACTGGACCGAAATTGAAAAATTTTACTCGACTTGGCGGTTGCACTACCGTGCCCCCAAATATTTTAGTTTTTCCTTGATTCATACACCAAACACTACTTATATTCCAAATTTGAAGCTTCTAGGTCTGCTAGAAGTGCCTTAGAGTTTTGATGATCGGTGAGTCAGTGAGTGACAAAATTAAGTAACTTTGACCCGTTATAATTCTTAAACTACTGGTTCAAATTGAATGAAATTTTAAATATACCGTGTCTTTACAATGCCTGCATAGCTAATGAAAATTCAGCCTTCTAGTTTTATCCACAACGAAGTTACAGGCAGTCGAAAATGGCCTGAATTGCTTCGAGAAAAGGATGGTACGGCCGTGCCGCTTTTTTGCTCGACTTGGTGGGGGCACTGCTGTGCCCCCAGATTCATAATTTCAATTTCTGCCCGGCCGAGAATCGAACCCGGGACCTCTCGGCATAGTAGTCCGTTTCCGAACCACTACACCAAACGGCCGACAAACATTTATTTATTTATTCATGAACCAATACATACATAAACATTTATTTGCACGCTGCAATACCTGGCAGAACGTAATTTCGAACAGGCTTTGATATTTATTTATAGTATTTTTTTCGCAAATAGAATTACATAATTTGATTTAATTTATGCTATCGTAAATACGCAAGTACAAATACGAAAGCAAGTAATTTGGGATTAATTTGACAGGTGACCGAGCTACATGACATCATGTCAAATAATGTTGATCATCATAACAGATGAATATAATAACAATTATTTTATAACTTGAAAAAATCGAACGGCCCAAGGCAGGAATGGAATGGAACCCACGAAAGTTTTTCAACTTTAACACTTTACCAAAGTAAATAAGTGGGACTTGCTATGATAGTATGGTATTGTTATTAGGAATTAGGTCTGTAGTCTACATAGATCGGAAAAAGCAGTAACCATCTCACAAAATGGCAAATTCCCAAGGGCGTCACAGTAACAAAAAGTCTCTTCCCGTGGGCGATTAAAGAAGAAATAGCATAACATCAGGCCTTTGTCGGAGGAGTGCCGGCCTAATCCTCCATTTCTTCTGCAGCTCTGGTAAATTGGAGGGTCCTGTAGTCCTGTTCCTGCAGTGGATACTGAATGCAGGCCCGTCTTTAACCTACTAGGGTCCCTCTTCACTTAAGGATCTTAAGGATCAAAGGGGCCCTTATCATCTGGAAAAAGGTCTTTTGAGTAGATGGGGGACACTTCGGTCGCGCGGGCCCTGGGCTCGTGACCAAAGTTCCCAGTGGGAAAGAGGGGCCTGACTGAATGACCTGATGATCCAATGACGATGATGATGATATCCTATACAATACAATGTAAAAAGCGCCATCTTTTCCCTACAAATAAAGCTTGCACTCTCTTTAGCAGGTTGTGGCAGCCCTATAGTATCGTACAGTCGAGGAATATTATTAAGCGATCACTGACTCGTTAGACCATTCAGCTACGTCCATAAATAAGTAGATAACAAAAGATTATAACTTGCACTTGCTAATTAAAACATCGCTAGTTTGGTTCAAAAATGTCATTTTTCCAGTGAAAGTGATTCATGCAACATAAAAAGCAGTGGAGTTTTTGTATCAAGACTAGTTTTAGCCCGCGGCTTCGCCCACGTAAAATTCGGCTATCGTTCGTTCGTTCGTTTCAGCCGAAAGACGTCCACTGCTATACAAAGGCCTCCCCCAAGGATTTCCACAAAGACCGGTCCTACGCCGCTCGCATCCATGCACCTCCCGCGACCTTCACCAGAATGTCGGTCCACCTAGTGGGTCGCCACTCAAGAACTTTCCTGCCCTAGCGGCCATCAGCTCTACGAGCTATGTGCCCCGCCCGAAATTCGGTTATAGAAAAACTTTATAGTGCCCCTGTCTCAAAAAAAACGGCCAAGTGCGAGTCGGGCTCGCACACCGAGGGTTCCGCCGTACAAACGTAGCGGTTTACNACGACAAATTTTAGTTTTGTCTGATGATGATGAACCAGAAAAAACATCGTTGTCTCCATCGTGCAGTCACTGCAGATTTGCAGACATACATACATACATATTTAAAACATTCTGGTAAGTCGTGAATCGTGTATTTTGAAATTGTTATGAAATAATGTGAATAATTTCTATTTTTTGTATTAAAAATGAATATTTTTAACTACCCTCCGTGGTAATACTTTGTGTCCCGACTTAACCCTTAACCACTGACGTGTCATTTTGTTACACTAACACTGACGTACGTACGGCATACGTACTATCGGGGACTCGGGACGCCTTGACACCTTAAGGGCCTAAATTGTTTGCACACACACGCTCGATTATGCTACGCCCCCGTTCATTCATGTTTCGGGTCTAAGCAGCGTCGGCGCACCACTGTAGATGTTTGCTCTAGCAAACCAAGCTCTATGAAAAGCGTTTAGGATTGAGTATTGCTTATTACCCGCATCCGTAGCGCTCGTTTGGCAACGTCGCATTTTAGTCAATTTGAAACCCAGTAAAGAATCGCTACAAAATATTATATGGGGCTTCGTGTAAAATTTGAACTAGCGATTGCCCGCTCGGGTCACAAAATTGGTATCGCACATTGTAACTGTGCAATTTCCCGAGAAAAAAGTAGCCCTTTTTATAATTATTGTTGATATTAAGAGTGTAAATCTCATGATATTGGTTTAGCTAGTTAAGGCGAGAAATACAAAATCATACAGTTACTTTCGAATTTTACTTATTTAATAGGTATTTAATTTATTCGGAACTTATAATTTATTTAAAACAATATGTTATTGAATTAATTAGTAAAGAGTTAGGCCTCAGCCTCGAACTTAGCGGGCAGCGGGGCGGGAGCGGCGGCGGCGCGGGAGCGGGGCGAAGGTAGTAAGTTTCATTTTATTAAAATATTTTTATTATATTATATAACTAAAAAAATGAAATTTTCGCAATTTTTCCTATATTTGCATTATATGACAATGCTTTATGCCAAATTTCAAGATTCTGAGTTTACGGGAAGTATCCTGTAGGTTTTGATTCCTTTGCGAGTGTCGAAAATTTGTTGAAAATATCGAAGTAATCGGCGGTATCTTTTGATTGGCTTGGCTTAGAAGTTTGATATTTTCACAGCTTAAAGGGACAATAGACCTGAGTATTTCATGTGAATTTCAGCTTGATACGTTCACGCGTTCTTGAGATAAAGGGTCTTGACAGACGGACGGACGGACAACAAAGTGATCCTATAAGGGTTCCGTTTTTTCCTTATGAGGTACGGAACCCTAAAAACAGAATAAAAACTATCCTATCTTTTTTCATCATCATCTTCAGCCACAGGACGTCCACTGCTGAACATAGGCCTCCCCCAATGATTTCCACATCGCCGGTTGGTAGCGGCCTGCATCCAGCGCCTTCCTGCTACCTCCATGAAATCATCATTTCCCTGGGCCGCAATCTATCTCTACGAAATTTCATCTAAATCGATTCAGTGGTTTTAGGTTTAAGTATAAAAAGGTGGACGTCTTACGCTGCGTTTTCCGGTACGCGGCCTCCACTCCAGAACCTTGCCGCCCCATCGGCCGTCAGTTCTGCGTATTATGTGCCCTGCCCATTGCCACTTCAGCTTGCTAATCCACCACCACACCACAAGGTACCACAAGGTGGACCGACGACATCATAAAGGTAGCAGGAAAGCGCTGGACGCAGGCCGCTACCAACCGGGCAATATGGAAAGCATTGTGGGAGGCCTATGTTCAGCAGTGGACGTCCTATGGCTGAGATAATGATGATGATGATGATGAAAAGGTGACATACGGACAGAATTACTTTCGCATTAGTACCTACGGATTCTTGTTACCAAGTATAATTTGGAACTGTTTTGTCGGTTTTAATTTGGCAATAGAAATTAATTCCTCATTGTTCATGAAAATGCATGATCTTTTAGTTGGTAGTTTAACAAAGCGACTAACGAATTCTGATTTATTGGATTCAAACTGATGCATGACTAAATAGCTTGTTAGGCGTCGACTCGACTGTAAATAAAATCTATATGTACTAACTAANATGACCCTCAAACCCAGAAACCAGCTCTAGTCCCGGGAGGGCGACCAACTGCCCCAGGTTGGTGTTAGGTTTATCTTCCAAAAGTAAAAATATTAGTCCAGGCTAGCCAAGTTTTCATGATGGTATCATACCTATCCTATATTCAGAATTACGCAACTAATTATTCGCTAAAGACCATGCGAACTGGAGATTAAGTATGAAGATATTTTTAGATCTATAACAGCTACTGAACTAACACATTACATATTTGTGACAGGGTAATTTAACGGAAAACTATGCAAACCTAGCGAAAATGAGCTAGATGAAAGTAGTACAATTAAGAAACGGAGGACTAAATCCAGCCAGCCTCATAGAGTGAGAAGGCCTAGCAAAAGATGCCAGAACTGTAAAAGCGTACTGAGCTGCACCCTAATAGTACTGCAAAAATCAAAATGTAGTAATCATTTTTAGACGAACAGGCAATTTAATCACATTTGCATTCTCCGATCACCACACAGCTTATGACCGCAGTCTATGAAGGAACACTATCTGCGGTTGCGATCCTCATCAGTGAGGGACCGAGGAAGAAGAAGAAGTCATCACCGAAATAGAAGAATGCCGAATAAAAGATGCTCAAAAGCTGTCGACTGATGAAGCCTAAGCCACGACCAGTGCCAATCCAGCTCCAAAGCCCTGTTGAATGCCTCACATTCGAGCGCGATAAGCCGCGCGCAATATTTTGTTTAGTCGCAAATACATCTCCTTACTAGCAAGGTGTCTTTCACTCATCACCAGTCCTTTCATTCAAAATTCAACCTTAACGTACTCAACATAGTGGTCAAAATCGAGCCGGATTCCTGCGTAAAATTAATTGAGAATTTGCATCGACTGGCGAGCATATTTTTACCTGCGCGTCGACCCAACCGGTTTGCTATTGTGCTACGAACAGATGGTGCTACGCGGCTACGATACCTACGGCGACGTGTTGGCGTAAACAAGTGATTATAACGCACGGAACAAAATAACATCAATGCAGTGATATTGCAGTGTCTTTAAATGAAGTTTACGTACATAATTCACAATGTCAGACATAGAAACGTCTATAGAAGAGCTCAAAGACATTTATGAATTAATAAAGAAGGCACAAATCAACTTTAAAAAGTGTCCAACGACAAGAAAAACAAAGGGTTATCTACAAGCGAAAATTCAATGCATCGATGAGTACTGGACTTCGTTTCGCACGGCGCATCAGACGTTATTCAAGCTAACTACGAAAAGTGACCGAGATACTTTGAATTACTTTGTCAATGATGTGCATGGAGAATGTGAAGAAGTGTATACGTGTCTCAAGGCCGATTTGACAGACTCGTTGCTGTCACGTCAACAGCAAGGGGAATCATCTGCACTGAATACGAGCAGCTCAAGTGATCGCGCTGATAATTACACCCCAGATGTCAAATTACCACAAATCAATTTACCAACATTCTCCGGCGCGTACGAGGAATGGCAATCGTTTGAAGATACATTTGTAGCCCTAATCCATGCAAATAAAGGACTTAGTGATGTGCAAAAATTACATTACCTGAAATCGTGTGTTATCGGTGAAGCGAAGAATACAATCAAGCATTTCCAAATTACTGAGAAGAATTACAAACCTGCTTGGGACACCCTGAAAAATAGGTACAGTCACAAACGGCTAATCGTTAATGCTATTTTGAAAAGGCTTTTTTCTTTGAAGAAAGTAAATGTACAATCACCTACACAACTGAAGGCCTTGATAGACAACACCAAAGAATGTTTAACAAGCCTGAATGCATTAAATATTTACACCGGTACTTGGGATCCATTAATTATATTTCTGGTAATTCAGAAATTGGACCAAGAATCACACAGAGCGTGGGAAGCATATGTAAGTGCTGAATATTTTGAAGAATTACCCACATTCAACAACTTCACAACATTTTTAGAAAACCGTATCTGTACTTTGGAATTAACTTCACCTGTAACTGCACCAAAAGACAAGATAAAGGAAAGATCATTCACTGCTACCACGTCAATGAATCGTGTTTGCAGCATGTGTAAGGAAGACCACCTGCTTTGTCACTGTAAGGAATTTGGAAAACTGGATCCGGATAAGAGAAGCGAATTTGTTAAAGAACAACGACTCTGTTACAACTGTCTTGCTGCCGGGCATCCTGTATTTCACTGCAAACAAAAAACTTCATGCAGGATCTGCGGCAGACGTCACCACTCACTCCTACATTCACACAAGAAGAACCAAGAGTCCACGGGCAAAGAAGAGAAGAAACCATCACCAGGACTTTCATCCATGCACACAAATGTAGAAGAACATTCAGAAGACGAACAAGATGTGTTAATTGCCTCGCACTTTGTTTCTCAGTATAAAAGGGCTCTTTTAGCCACGGCTTTAGTCCCTATCAAAAGTGCGTCCGGGCAAGTTAGTATGTTTAGAGCTTTGATCGATTCCGGTTCTCAGGCCTCTTTCATAAGCGAGAGAGCGACTCAAATACTAAAGCTTCACAAGACTTCGGTTAAAGGTACGGTAACTGGAGTAGGTTCTAGTAAAACGTCAGTCAGTCATGTGGTCCAACTTGAGGTTTTATCGAGATGTGAAAAGAACTTCAGCCTCAATGTTAAAGCGTACGTATTATCAACACAGCTGACAACCAAGTTGCCTTGCAAGTCTATCACACCAAGAAATTGGTCACATTTGGACGGACTATCATTAGCAGATCCAAATTATTTTGTGCCAGGAAAAATCGACATTTTGTTGGGCGTAGATGTTTACACGGAAATACTCAAGAATAATCTCATCAAAGGCCCCCCAGGAACACCCTGTGCTCAAGAAACCAACCTGGGTTGGATACTATTCGGCAGCATAAATGATCAGATCCCCGACGAAGATACCGTAGCAATGCATATTCACCTGGATGTAGACAACATGCTGAGAAATATGTGGGACATTGAACCATCAAACAAACGTCATTTCACAGCCGAAGAAAGATTGTGTGAAGAAATTTACGCCAAATCACATTCCAGGTCATCTGATGGACGATACATTGTAAAACTCCCGTTCAAATGTGAAGATCCTTTACAAATGATTGGTGAAACAAGAGAAACAGCTTTGCACAGATTTCATCAATATGAGAGAAGATTGGAGAGGAATCCAAGTTTGAAGAAAGCGNCGCCGGAACAAACTCAGTCACCACTTATTGCCAGGAATTATCTAACGGTAAGAAAAGTCAAATTTAAGTACATCAAATATGTGCAGACTGAACTGACCACGCATCCTTGTCATCAATATAGTCTCGAACCTTGTACCCTTTGGACATAAGGGTTGTTTTTTATATGTATCTTAAATTTGTTTATTGGTAATTCGACAAGGTTGTGTGGTATAATATAAGGAATTTGGAAAACTGGATCCGGATAAGAGAAGCGAATTTGTTAAAGAACAACGACTCTGTTACAACTGTCTTGCTGCCGGGCATCCTGTATTACACTGCAAACAAAAAACTTCACGCAGGATCTGCGGCAGACGTCACCACTCACTTCTACATTCACACAAGAAGAACCAAGAGTCCACGGGCAAAGAAGAGAAGAAACCATCACCAGGACTTTCATCCATGCACACAAATGTAGAAGAACATTCAGAGGACGAACAAGATGTATTGTGTTAATTGCCTCGCACTTTGTTTCTCGGTATAAAAGGGCTCTTTTAGCCACGGCCTTAGTCCCTATCAAAAGTGCGTCCGGGCAAGTTAGTATGTTTAGAGCTTTGATCGATTCCGGTTCTCAGGCCTCTTTCATAAGCGAGAGAGCGACTCAAATACTAAAGCTTCGCAAGACTTCGGTTAAAGGTACGGTAACTGGAGTAGGTTCTAGTAAAACGTCAGTCAGTCATGTGGTCCAACTTGAGGTTTTATCGAGATGTGAAAAGAACTTCAGCCTCAATGTTAAAGCGTACGTATTATCAACACAACTGACAACCAAGTTGCCTTGCAAGTCTATCACACCAAGAAATTGGTCACATTTGGACGGACTATCATTAGCAGATCCTAATTACTTTGTGCCAGGAAAAATCGACATTTTGTTGGGCGTAGATGTTTACACGGAAATTCTCAAGAATAATCTCATCAAAGGCCCCCCAGGTACACCCTGTGCGCAAGAAACCAACCTGGGTTGGATACTATTCGGCAGCATAAATGATCAGATCCCCGACGAAGATACCGTAGCAATGCATATTCACCTGGATGTAGACAACATGCTGAGAAATATGTGGGACATTGAACCATCAAACAAACGTCATTTCACAGCCAAAGAAAGATTGTGTAAAGAAATTTACGCCAAATCACATTCCAGGTCACCTGATGGACGATACATTGTAAAACTCCCGTTCAAATGTGAAGATCCTTTACAAATGATTGGTGAAACAAGAGAAACAGCTTTGCACAGATTTCATCAATATGAGAGAAGATTGGAGAGGAATCCAAGTTTGAAGAAAGCGTGTGATGATGTTATCGAAGAGTATATTGTGCTTGGACACATGGAAAAGGTTCCTAAGGAAGAGACCAATAAAAAGGCCGTATATTTACCTTATCATCCAGTCGTAAGAGAAGGAAAAGAGACGACTAGTGTCAGATTAGTGTTCGATGCTTCGTGTGAAGGTTCTAACGGGAAATCTTTGAACAACTTACTGCTGGTGGGACCTCAATTGCAGGATGACTTAAGAGATCTGATAATGAGATGGCGAACAAAGTCAATCGCTTTTGTGGCCGATATCGAGAAAATGTATCGTCAGATACTGGTTACAAAAGAAGATACTGACTTTCAGAGAATACTCTGGCGAAAAACCAGCTCTGACGAAATTCAAGAATATCGCTTGCTAAGAGTCACATTCGGAATATCTTCTGCGCCTTATCTTGCAATAAAAACGTTAATGCAACTAGCCGAAGACGAGGGAGAGAATTATCCAGCAGCAGCCAAGGTCATTAAGGAGGATTTCTTCGTGGATGATTGTATGAGCGGATGCATTCAAGATTCAGTGACCGAATCTTTACAGCTGAGCACTCAAATTTCTCAAATACTAGAGAAGGGAGGTTTCGTTCTTCAAAAATGGGCATCCAACAACACTGAATTCATGAATGAAATACATCCTTCGCGACGTAGTGCTAATACAAAAAAGGAGTTGACAAACCAATGTATCATGAAGACTCTTGGAATCACCTGGAACATGGGTACAGACTCATTTCATTATCATTTTAACTTACCACCAGAGCCCAAGTTTATTACCAAGAGAAATATTTTAGCTGACATCCAAAGACTTTTTGATCCGTTGGGATGGCTTGGAGCTGCAATAATTCCAGCGAAGATATTGATCCAACAGTTGTGGGTGGAAAAATTGGACTGGGATGAAGAAGTAACTGGTTCACTTAGAAACGAATGGTTAAAATTGAGGCAGAGCTATGAACATCTTGATAAAATTCATATCAATAGACAAATCGAGATCGATGACGACGATATGGAAAATTTCTCACTCCATGGCTTCTGCGATGCATCGAACAAAGCCTATTGCGCTGTAGTATATTACAGAGTTGTTACGAAGAGCGGTAGGATTGACACCGGCATCGTTGCATCCAAGACACGAGTAGCCCCCGTCAAACCAGTCACACTACCGAGACTCGAGCTCTGCGGTGCGGTACTGCTGGCTAGACTTTTGACACAAGTTCACAAAGCCATGAGAATTTCTATCAACCAAGTGTATGCTTGGACTGATTCATCTGTGGTCCTATCATGGTTATTTGGAAACCCCAATCGCTGGAAACCTTTTGTCAGCAACAGAGTTGTGGAAATTCTTGACAATCTTCACAATACTCAATGGTTTCACGTAATATCCAAAGAGAATCCAGCAGATATTGGTTCTAGGGGACAATACTTACCTCAACTGATAGAAAACCAAAGGCTATGGTGGGAAGGGCCAGAATGGCTGAAAGATGATAAAATCAAATTTACTCGACCAAATATTATACCAACTGAAATTGAAAGGAAGAAAAACATAGAAGTAAATTTTAAGACTCAGAATGAAGAGACAGATATTTTTGAAGACTTTGATACACTAGAAGAGTTGCAACGAATTATAGTTTACAGCATTCGATTTTTAAATAGCAAAAAGAAACCAGAAGAAATAGGTCAACAATTTACAACAACTGAATTAGAAGAAGCTCTGTTAAAATGCATAAAAATAGTACAAGGAAAGGAACATGCAAAAGAGATAGATAGCCTAAAAAGGAAGGGATATGTACAGAAAGACAGTAACTTAAAATCTCTTAACCCCTACCTGGATGACAAAAATATTCTCAGGGTGGGCGGAAGGTTAAGAAATGCTAATCTCGACGATGAATCTAAACATCCAATAATACTTGGAGCAAAGAACAAGTTAACTTCGTTGATTATATCTCAAGCTCATAGAAAGACTCTGCATGGTGGTATTCAAATCATGCTTTGCTATCTCAGAAGTAAATATTGGATTATAAGAGCAAAAAATGAAGTAAAAGCTCATATTTACAAGTGCCTCATATGCGCCAGACAGAAGGCAGCATGTCGTAGTCAGCTCATGGGCGACTTACCCAAACAACGTGTGAACGAGGCTCGCCCATTTCTTCATAGCGGAGTCGATTTTGCCGGTCCTTTGCAAGTATTAATGTCAAAGGGCAGAGGTGCAAAATCTAACAAGGCCTACATCGCCATATTCGTTTGTATGGCTGTCAAGGCCATACATCTCGAATTGGTCGGTGACCTTACATCAGAATCATTCATGGGCGCTTTCCGAAGATTTGTTGCCAGGAGAGGAAAATGCACTCACTTATGGAGCGATCAAGGGCGCAACTTCATCGGAGCAGACAAAGAACTAGCAGCAGCATGGAAGCAAGCAAGCCTAGAGCTACCAGGTGAACTTGTCAATGTTCTTGCAGCCGATGGAACGCAGTGGCACTTCGTGCCTCCATATAGCCCAAACTTTGGCGGCCTTTGGGAGGCGGGCGTAAAATCAGTAAAATTCCATCTAAAAAGAATTTTGACTGCAAACCTGACATTTGAAGAGATGACGACAACACTATGTCAAATAGAAGCGTGTTTAAATTCACGACCTTTAACACCGTTGGATACCACTGACACTGACGTTATAGAGCCACTCACCCCCGGACACTTTTTGATAGGTGAATCTCCAATTTCTGTGCCTAATCCTGATTTACGTGACGTCAACATAAATAGGCTATCGCGTTGGCAATTAACACAGAGACTTGTTAGAGATTTCTGGCACAGATGGCAGTCTGAGTATCTATCCAGACTCCAAAAACGCCCTAAGTGGCTCAAACGCCAGAAGGAATTTGAGCTCGGAGACATCGTATTGCTCAAAGACGAGCAGACGCCGCCTAGCAAGTGGGCGCTCGGCCGCGTGCTTGAGAAGCACCCTGGGCCCGACGGCGTCTGCAGGGTGTACACTGTGTGGAGCAACAAGCATGTCACTCAACGATCGGTGTCTAAACTATGTGCATTACCAATAGATAAGTCGTAATTCATAATTCGATTGATTTAATTCTTTATTAAAATATTAATTAAAAATGTTAAATCTAGTTTAAAAATATTCGTAAATCAAATAATAAAGTAAAAAACTGTGTAAAGTCAAATAGATGCTAAAATACTTTACTTTGTAACTTATTGTAACTCAATTAGGAAACAAAATTGTAATGTTAAACTTGTTAACTTCATAGATGATTATTGTAGAATATTATGTAAAGGACAGCCTTTGTAAATAACGCAAAGCCGTCCTTTGGTGGGCGGTATGTTGAATGCCGCACATTCGAGCGCGATAAGCCGCGCGCAATATTTTGTTTAGTCGCAAATACATCTCCTTACTAGCAAGGTGTCTTTCACTCATCACCAGTCCTTTCATTCAAAATTCAACCTTAACGTACTCAACACTAATATTATAAGTGCGTCTAACGTGCTAACTCTGTATGTCTCGCTTTCACGCCAAACCACAGAACCGATTTTGATGAAATTTGGCATAGAGATACTTTGAGTCTCGGGAAAGGACATAAGATAGTGTTTATCCCGGTTTTTGAAACAGGGACGCGCGCGATAAAGTTTTTCTGTGACTGACAAAATACCACGTGGGCAAAGCTGCGGGCGGAAAGCTAGTGAGGAATGTTTGTAAAGCCCGGTCGCCGAACACGTAGAATTTCGACGACGTTGCGACGGGCGGCCGCAGTGAGTATGCGAGCGCGACAGCAATATAATTACGCGCGAGCGACAAGGATGGGTAGCTTGGGGTCATTGGACGAAATTCTACGTGCTCAGCGACCGGACTATAGTAACGGTATATAACCGTTATTATAGTCCGGTCCGTAATCCGTAGTAAATAACCGTTCATTGTGGAAAACCTTGGGGGAGGCCTTTGTCCAGCAGTGGACGTCATTTGGCTGAAACGAAACGAAACGATGTACGAGCAGTTTTCTAAATATCCTTTCAAATATGTCCATAAAATTCATCATCATCATCATTTCAGCCATAGGTCGTCCACTGCTGAACATAGGCCTCTCCCAATGCTTTCCACGTTGATCGATTGGTAGCGGCCTGCGTCCAGCGCTTCCCTGCTACCTTTACGATGTCGTCGGTCCACCTTGTATGCGGACGTCCCAAGCTGCGTTTTCCGGTACGCGGCCTCCATTCCAGAACCTTGCTGCCCTGAATAAAATTAATTACTTTCAATTCCTAAACACGTTTTTAATTCCATATAGATTGTCCTCCTCTTACTATAACTACTAATTTTACGTTTTCAGTTTTCAAAAATAACCATTTGTTTCTTTCTTTTTCAGATATAGTCACAACAGCAAACTAAGAATAGAATATAGAAAATCGTGTACATAATTATGAAGAAACTTGCTTATTCTACGGTTGTTTTTGGACAAATGTTTGAAAAGAATTCGTGTAAAAATACGTCCTACAGTAATGCATTTACTGATAATCCAGCAGATTAGTTCTTGCGATTAATACTAGTAAATTGTAGACTTTATTTTTAATGATTTCTCCAAATAAAACTACTTTGATGTTTTGTGTGTATATCTGCCACGATTCTTCCAAAGATTTTGCACATACAACACAAACTATGACGTCACTTGTTTGTCAAATCAATCGACTATCTATCGACTTCACAGCAACTAAACGTACTAAAAAAAACTAATTTAAGTGTAGTTACTGTGTTTTCGAACCATTCTCTAATGGACTCAGCCCCCCAATTAGACAGTTGAAATGTTGAGCCAAACTTTGACCTAATCCAATGTAGAAGCATCATAGCGCTGAGTGTGAGTTTATAATCAAAAGTCTTCACTAGTGAGCGAGTTTTGAGCTGACACTGTAGGTTTGTTGTCGACACGAAAAGAAGAAGTGAGCGCGTTAAAAAATATATGAAAATGTTAGTTCTTGAAAGTTTCCGCTAGGGGCGCCGTACAATCCGTCATACATTTAATGTCACTTTTTTACGCGGTCGACATCGAAGGCATTTGACGTAAACTCACACTACGCCCCCAGACGTCGTAACCACTTAGAATAAGGATGCCAAAATATTGGATAATTTGTATTCAGATCAATTTTGTGGTCTCTTTATTGTAAATAGATTTTTGCTATGTTTTTTAAATTAGGACATAAATTATGATGCAATATTATTTACATATTTCGATTGACCCATTCTGTAGTGGTCAGTCAGTCAGCTGCTGCATTTGTATTAAAGCTTCGGCTAAACCAACGCGTGCAGGTCGCGTCGGCAATGGCGACAGGACGTTGATGTGAACTCATCGCTACAAATTCATCTTCTTCTTCTTCCTCGGTCCCTCACTGATGAGGATCGCGACCACAGATAGTGTTCCTCCACAGACTGCGGTCATAAGCTGTGTGGACCGCACGATGCAAACTCCCGCCCACCGTCTTCCTCACCACGTCCGACCATCTCGTCGGTGCCCTGCCCCGAGCGCGTCTGCCTTCCATTTGTCCTAAGATGATTTGTTTCTCCAGACAATATAATACAAATTCATACACGACGTCTGATCACCATCGCGCACGCGTTGGTTTGGCCGAACCTTAAAAAGATAAAAATGCAAACCTTTTCAATATATTTTTTCTCATTCCATGTAAATATAATTATGTATATGTATATCGTAAGTTTTTTTATCATTTAATAGAGACTAAGATTGTTTTTTATTTGTGATATTTAACATTTAAATAGCTTGATTAAAAAAAGGCTAAGTGGTAATCACGCTGTAATAACATTGCAATGGTAGGAACTAGGATTGATATAAAAACACATGACAAGTTTATCTTACGGAATTCGGCGGGGTAAGCAATTGGTTACTAATTGAACAATAGCAATGCGACTGTTACTAATGTATGGAAACTAGCGCCATCTGCAATGAACGCGACGCTGTCATTAATTGGCGCTGCAGTCGCGTTGCTATTGTACATAGCAACCTGTTGCTAAGATCTGCAAAAAGCATGCGGTATATAATAGAAATAATAAGTTAATTTGCAAATCATAATACACCAAAGGATTCGCTAAAGATAAGGCTTGAAAACTGAACGATCGATGTATATGTAATGGTAAAAAAACGAGTTTAAGTTCAAATTATATATTTATATAAATGTAAATATTATATACTATTCAAATTGTTACAGTTAATTGCTGCAAAGTGTACAATATATGTGTAAAACTGATACAACTGGTGTTTCATTTCTTCAAAACTATGTAGGTATTGACTTGTTTTTTTTAATACTAAAACGAATGGAAACTGTCCCACCCGTGACATTGACAGGGGGGCGCCACCGTCAATACAGAATCGCTGGTTCCGATTTTTGCCACTTTGGAAAATTTAGGTAGTCGAACGCTGGTGGCGCCCCCCTGTCAATGTGTTTGGTGGGACAGTTCAGTTGTCTACATTTGTGAGTGGCCAAGCTAAAGTAGTATTTATTGTGTAGCTAGAATTTTAATTTCAAATTCACATACTATACTAATTGACTGTGTACCTACCATCTACCAACATTAAATGTAATTGGTTACAATAAACCTAACAAAGCTATAAAATTTTGATTGACTCGAAGATAGGCTAACGATCAAGTATTCGTTATTTCTGGCTGGAACCTCGTCAAATCACGATGTATATTGTTCCAATTATTCTTCTTGCTTTTGTGAGTTCGGTTCTGGGTGCCTTGAGCAACGAGCGGGATACCATAGACAAAAGTAAATTGATGGGAGTGGACGCCATACACGATAATAATATTAAAATAGACAAGGACACTATTATCACGCGTAATTTGAAGTTGGAAAAGAAAAATCGAGCTAAAAATGGTAAGGAAAAAAATTGTAAGCGACGAGGGTTGCCTAGTTACAGTCAGGTTTCAGATAAACGGTATTAGTGAACAAATCTAGTGCCTAAGGAGCTCTGATGGAAGAGCAGTCGCCCGGCAACCGAAAGGTANTATTTCTTCAACATTTGAGGAAATGGTGTTACCATACTTCATTGTCAGGGGCATTGAAGAAGACGCTTTTTTACCATTGACATATTTAAAGAAGTACTTGACATTATGTTTTATAGAAGTTTCAACTGAATCAAGATAACTTTTGTAGCATTTTTGTAGGAGANGCCCAAAAACAGAACACATTGCTCGTGACAGCAATGATGACAGCAGCGACGTCATAATACCTACTTATAAACAGCTTACATTGCTTGCGTAGTAGGTACTAAAGATTATTCGAACGTTGAGTATCTACTGATACCGCAGTAGATAATGAGCACATGTTTGGTTGTGGATTTCGGGCTTTAGAGCTGGTTGGGCGCTACAGCTGGGTGGAGTGTAGACTTCATCGGAACCTAATATGACTTATTCTTTTTGAATAAACAACTTGAAAAAATCAAACTGCCTGAGGCGGGAATCGAACCCACGACATTTCGCTTGCCGGGCGACTGCTCTTCCATTTAGTTTGAGAAGCGACTTTAATCGCTAAGAAATTTTAATAATGACTTAAAAACCGGCCAAGTGCGTGTCGGACTCACGCACAAAGGGTTCCGTACCATTGATTTATGAAATTAAAATTATTATTTTTTATTTAAGTTATTAGTATGAAAGATTACGCGGTAATAAGCGGTTTACGATTTACGAGGTATTAAAAAAAACTACTTACTAGATCTCGTTCAAAACAATTTTCGTTGGTAGTTTTTATAGTAATGTACATCATATGTTTTTTTTTAGATTTTTCATTTTCTTATTTTAGAAGTTAGAGGGGGGGGGGACCAACTTTTTTCCACTTTGGAAGCGTCTGTCACGCAAACTATTCGGGTTAGAAAAAAAGTATTTTAGAAACCTCGATATCATTTTTGAAGACCTATCCATAGATACCCCACACGTATGTGTTTGATGGAAAAAAAATTTTGAGTTTCAGTTCTAGTATGGGGAGCCCCCAATTTTTATTATTATTTTTTTATTTTTGCATCAAAATCTTAATGCGGTTCACAGAATACATCTACCTACCAAGTTTCAACAGTATAGCTTTTATAGTTTTGGAAAAAAATGGCTGTGACATACGGACGGACAGGCATGACGAATCTATAAGGGTTCCGTTTTTTGCCATTTGGCTACGGAACCCTAAAAATCCACAATTTTGCTTTTTTTCTTTTTTTTAACTCGGCGCGCACCTCTACGTCAGTTCTTCAGCCAAAATGTATGGGATCTTGACGTCAGTTGGTACTTGAGAGAACAATGGTACCTACTTATCTACTTATTAGCTTCATTTCTTCAAAAGTGTTTGCTCAAGTGGCTCAGGTGTAGGTGATGGTGGACATGATGCTGAAGTCCAAAAATTAAAACAACAATTTGATTAGTAATTAATGTTTTATTGAATCTTTGAAGATTACCTTTAAGAGACCCCTAGATACGTGTCTTCCGCCTCGATCCCTCACTGATGACTGATGAGGATCGTGACCACATAATAGTGTTCCTCCACAGACTGCGGTCATAAGCTGAATCTTGATATAAATAGTCAAATTTTATGTTTCTTCGAATATTAAAAAAAAAAATTCGTGAAATCCTCATTTATAATTCTTTTCACGCTACGTAAAGATAGCCCTAAAACTAATATAAATAATCATACATATTTTTTAAGGAAAACGTTTTGCTCGTTGGTATCACTGAACTGTAACGGCGGCAACTCGCTCATTTACTTTCCAAATGAAAGGATAGGGGCGCTACATATTTTTTATTAAAATGGGTAGAAGATAGGGATTCAAATTCTAATAATAATCTTTATTTGATAGATTTGACAAAAAATTTAAAATATGTTAACACACATTTAATGAACATTTATAAAATTAGCAATCATTTATTATCTACTAAGTACTCTACTATCATTTTTATTCGAAATGAACATTCTACATAATATTATATCAAACTAGCTTTTGCCCGCGGCTTCACCCACGTGAAATTTAATATGTCACAGATCGTCATAAATTATAGCCTATATGTTAGCCCGTTCAGTAGATTTTGCGTGAAAGAGTAACAAACATCCAGACATCATGACATCCAAACTTTCGCCTTTATAATATTACTAGGAATTAGTAGGATTAATCTAGAACACACATTATCGTGGGGGTAAATTAAATGATAATTATGCTATAAGGAAGCCTCTTTGTGTAAGGAAGTCTAATCTAAACTACAATGACCTGCAATGAATATTAAAGTCACGTGGAATAATTGTATTGTGCATGTGGTTATCTTTCTTAATCATGTCAGCGGCTTTCTCCGCAATCATAATAGTGGGAACGTTAGTGTTCCCACTAGTGATGGTGGGCATAACACTGGCGTCCACCACCCGCAGTCCTCTAACACCGAGCACGCGCAGCCGGCTGTCCACCACGGATCCCATAGCGCTGGTCCCCACAAAGTGGAACCCAGAACTGACCAAACACTGCACGTAACACCTCCAGTACTCTTTACTTCCCTCCTCGAAGTCCTCACAGCTGGGTAACGTTATGAACTTCGCGCCAACACTCTTCATATACGTGGTATTCACAATCCTTGCGAAGTCTTCTACGTTCCTGATCATGTCCTCTAAATCGCTTTCCTCCAAATATGGTTTTAAAGTAATAAGAGGGCTATCTCTTGGGTCCAAACTTTTTAGTGCTACTGTTCCACGAGTTTTAACATTAAAACTTGTTATTGCGACTGCGACGAAATTAATATTTTTAACTTCGTTGTACAACTTCTCGCATAGATCATAGTTAAAATTGAAGAACACACAACTTTCAACGAATCCATCAACACCTGTTTTTAAAAAGAAGGCTTGGTAGTCAGGGTATTTTGCGGTTGCATTTGCTGTCAGGTATCCTGTGGCCAAAACCGAGTTTATAGCATATGGATTTACAGGTACAGGTATCGCTTCTGCTCCTGGCATTGTAATGCCCATGAGTATAAATTGATGATTTTGCAGATTATATCCTACAGGAAGATCTGCTACGACCGTCTTGTTAAAGTTCTGTAAATGCTCTTTTGGACCGATCCCAGACAACAATAAAAGTTGTGGTGTGTTTATAGCTCCTGCTGATATTATCACTTCTTTGTTTGCTTTGACTGTTAAAGTTTTGTTATCATTATCAATTACTTCAACACCTGTGGCTTTGCCATTATCTACAATTATTCTTGTAGCAAGAGTTTCTTTTAAGACATACAGATTCGGGCGATCTTTTATCGGTGACAGAAAAGCATTAGCAGTACTTTGACGAAGACCATCGGCAACCGTCATTAATTGTTCACAAACTCCTACGTGCTGATCGCCATTTATATCAGGAAGTACCTTGTAGCCCATTTCTTGAAACACGCTCCTGTAATTTTTAAATTCACTGATCGTTACTTTAGTGACTTTCATATAGCCATGGGTTCCGTGATATTTTCGATAACGTGAATGTAATAATGCCGAGTCTTCCAGACGTTCACTTTTTTTGAAATATGGTAGTACATGTTTGTAATCCCACGAATCATCTTTGATGATATCAGCCCACGTGTTGTAGTTTTCAGGATTGCCTCGAACATAGTACATGTCGTTTATGCTGCTAGTCCCACCCAGAACTTTGCCATGGCCTACGGGGTATGTGTAATTTTCCAAGCATTGATAAGCATTTTCATCTGGTTCGGTGACGTGTTTCCAGTTCAAATACGATGACTTGGCATACGAGCCCAATCCAGGAACCTGAAAAGCAAAATTTATTCATTACTAACAAGACTCGTCGCATGAGCTTAGTGACCGTTAGTGCAAAAAGCCGAGTAGCGACCAAGGGCCGGAAGACGGTGGTGGTAGGTGAACCGACGATCTGGTGAAGGAAGCGGGAAGTACCTGGATGCGGGCAGTGTAGGACCGGTCGAGGTCTTTGTCTAGCAGTGGACGTCATTTGATTGAAAGGAAAAAATGAGTTTATAGATTTACCCGGCTCAAATGGCTCAATGATAACTCACATTGCACTCGATGGGTGAATCAGGGCCGGCTTCTATCAACAGCACCGTCACCCTCGGATCTTCCGTGAGCCTGTTGGCCAGCACGCTACCTGCCGAGCCCGCGCCCACGATGACAAAGTCAAACGACGCTCCATCTGGAATCCATTAATATAGTATTCGTTCAGACTACGAAGTATTAGCGGCAATAGCCGAACGCTCGAGATCCGAGGATCCTTCGCCCGTCGACTATTGTGGTGAGCGAGGGATTGATATTGGTTTTAAAATAAATATTTCTAACTCAGTAGCGCCCCAACGGTTCGGTGACGGTACGGTTGACTTGGTCGCTAATGACTTGACAGGTGATTTCTGACCATTAGTAGTAGGAGTTACCTTGTGGTAATTGCTGATAATGGTCACTCTGTACCTCAGAAACTCGTAAAAGTTTGTTCTTATGTATAACTTGGTATAAATACGTTAAGTCAGAGACTATAGGGCTATTTGATATTTATCTCAACGTATGGTTAGTGACTGAAACCGTTCTGGGTCTGAAAATGGCTTGAGCCACCTCAAATTTTGGATAAAGCTCGGTACGTAACCATATTTATAGGCTTGCAGTTAGTGTGCTGAGACTAGAATCGTACATTTATTTACTTTGAAGTATTATTCTTCTGCACATACGACGGCACATAAGACCCTACTCATTATTGCAGCAAATTCTCTTCCATTACAACTACATTATTATGATCTCACAGTGCTTACCTTGACATGCCGCCATCTGTAGGTACAATAGTGGAACAAATCCTCAATTAGCCAGTCAATGAATGCTTTAATCAGGGACCATTATAAACCAAAAAAAAGGTGATTTTTGCTACAGGTGACTTAGTTTTTCTTTATTTTTTGCTTCAGTGGCCATCTCAGCCTGCCGGCTCAGGGGCTAAGGGCGGGGACTTTTTATATGTTCACCTCCTAACTAATCTAAATAAAGTCACGAAGTCAGGAATTGTGTTCCTCACATTACTTTATTGACTGGACTATCTGGTGAATCGAGAGAGGGTGCTCCTGCAGTATTATATACAATACATATACTCCCAAGCCGCTTTCGGCTACGGTAACTACGACAAAATTCCTTTAGTACGCAATAAGAGGGCTACGCTGGGCTGCCCTATCATGTGCCCTCACATGGCTACAGTAGCCAATCTTGTTGGTAAACGTGCGCGAACAGTGTCGACACGTTAGGACACCGCTGATGTATTATATGATGCTGCTCCTGCAGTATTATAATACTAGATGATGATGATGAAGAGTACTATAATTTTGATACACACCAGTCACAGTCGCATCAGGAGGGTAGCGCCAGGCAGTCAACTGAAATACTGATATTGTGGAAAACGCTTGTTGTATTTTAGCAACATAGGACAAGAACGCTGTCACGTACATTTTGCTGTCAACAAAATGTCTTGGGGCACGAGTGCACGACTTACTTTAGTAGGTAGTGCACGGTTCTAGTGTTGTACCGATCCCGCTATCGATAGACTAGAAAAAAGCAAGTGAAAATGAACCAGTTGTTGTTAAACAGTTAATTAATTAGTTGTTGTTAAACATCGGCAATTTGCCAACCTATATCTTTTGTAAGAAACAGTCAGAATTTTCATTTTTCTTTTCCGAAAATTAAAACCAGTATAGTGAGATAATAATGAATAGTGGAATTGAACTGTCGATAATATGAAATATTAGCTTTTGCCCGGCTTCACCAATACTGTAAAGTTTCATCACAATTTTGCGTGAAAGAGTTACAGACATCCAGACATCCAAACTTTCGTATTTATAAATTAGTAGGATTACTTTCAATATGGCATTTGAACAACACTAATCTGTTATCTGTGTAGCTGATAATAATAATTCAGCTGTGTCGTTAATTTATTCAATTAACATTTCAGTTCGATAATGTAAATAAGTCGTTTCATTAAATGTTTGAACAACCGGTTTTAATACATAGGTCAAAAAGAAGGTTTGTTGAACCAGGCAGTATTTCTACAAGTGCGATGTACCTAAGAATAGAATAGAATAGAATAATTGTTTATCTGCATACAACATTGTATATAGTTGTAAGATATATAAAGTGTATCTAATTAAATAGCTTGTGTAGTCGCTGTGTTTTATTTTACTCGTGTATTCACTCACGACTCAAAGTGTGATAACAAACAACAGTGAAGTACTCGTGTATCTTATACACATTTTTTACCAACACGTTTTTTCAAAAAGAAAAACCCAAATGTTTTTTATTTCATTTAAATTCAAATTCAAATCATTTATTTGCATTGCATTATCTAAGGTGATTCATGCCTGCAATGTTGTTATCAAATTGAAAACTAAAACTAGAGTGTGGCAGAAAAGTTCTCGAGTGGCGACCACGAGCCGGAAGACGTAGTGTGGGCAGGCCTCCCACTACGGTCTACTACTACGAGGGTCCACCGGACCGACGATCTGGTGAAGGACGCAGGAGGTGCCTTTATGCGGGCGGCGCAGGACCGGTCTTTTTAAGTCGGTTTTTTATTAGCCTTTGTGGAAATCATTGGGGGAGGCCTATGTTCAGCAGTGGACGTCCTATGGCTGAAATGATGATGATGATGATGAAATGTGTGATGTACTCATTCGCTTGCCAGAGTAAGGCATAGGTATCAGCATGACGTACCTATGCACATGGAAGTTGGTCGCACGTACCTACTAGAAACTGGTATGCAAGTGTACGAAGTAGTTCGTTCGTTCGTTCGTTCGTTTCAGCCGAATGACGTCCACTCCTGAACATAGAACTCTCCCAATAATTTCCACAAAGGCTAATTGGTAGCGGCCTGCATCCAGCGCCTTCCTGCTACCTTTATGAGGTCGTCGGTCCACCTTGTGGGTGAACGTCCTACGCTGCGCTTTCCAATAACGTGACCATTGCACGTTTGAATTTTATTTAATCTTTTTAGTTGTAAACAAAGACGCCATGCAAATGTATCCACAATGTGCCAGGCCCGTAACTTGCACATGTCGTTAACAAGCATGCAAGCTACTGTAACTGTACTGTACTGTACTGTACTGTACTGTACTATACTGTAATTTATACATAAAGGCAAGTGTAGGTATCGCCGCCTTTAGACTCCTTTGCTATTTTCATAAGCAAGATTATTAATAACTTTCCACCAATCAACAGAAACTTCGTGAAACAAATTAATTTTTATTTTTATTTTTTTAAATAAACGTAGGTAATTAACCAAAGCAATAAATTAAGTAATGTTTGCATGAAATACACGAACATGTTTAAACTACATATACCTAAACCTAACTAAAGATAGTAATTTATGTGTTTGTACGCGTATATCGCTGCTACGAGTACATCACAATAAATAAATATTGAACTTCCAATAAATCAAGCAGACTAATTAAATCTCAAAAATAACGTAAAAACAGTGTTTTGTTTACTAAATTAGTTTTACTATCTTCCTCCAAGTAATGCACCGAATAATAATAAGTACCTACTACGCTAATAGGTAAAATTGTCTTAGGTGTTACCTACAAAGTCTTATCTCTGAAATGTAATTTTTAATGTAAAACACGAGGGGCTAATGGGACTATTAGTAATTTTTGCAATACAAATTGCTAATAATCTTTTTATTAAAAAAAACACAAGGCAGGTACCTAGAGATTACTAAATCGTTACATCGAACTTACAACTTACACTCCTCCTATTTTCTTCTGATTAATTTCGATGCGGGTCCAATGACAGTTAACTTTCCCCGGGACAAACTTGACCTTCACTGGTTGGGTTTTAATTAGCGGTCACGATGTAGATCCTGGCTACGCAGGAGTTGCAGCGGTGGGAAGGAGAGGTGAGAATAGTCTCGTACATCGCTACATCAATACAATATAATACAATCTGGAGTGGAGGCCACGTACCGGAAAACGCAGCGTGGGATGTCCACCCATAAGATGGACCGACGACATCATAAAGGTAGCAGTAAGGCGCTGGACCGCTGGGGCAGGAAAGTTCTTGAGTGGCGACCACGAGCTGGAAGACGTAGCGTGGGCAGGCCTCCCACTAGGTGGACCGACGATCTGGTGAAGGTCGCGGGAAGTACCTGGATGCAAGCGGCGCAGGACCGGTCTTTGTGGAAATCCTTGGGGGAGGCCTTTGTCCAGCAGTGGACGTCTTTCGGCTGAAACGAACGAAGGCGCTGGACGCAGGCCGCTACCAATCGATCAACATGGAAATCATTAGGGGAGGCGTATGTTCAGCAGTGGACGTCCTTTGGCTGAAATTAATGATGATGATGATGCTGATGATGATGATGATGATGATGCTGATGATGATGACGATGATGATGCTGATGATGATGATGATGATTAAACAGTTGAAGCAAACAAAGCAGTGATATTATCAGTAGGAACTATACACACCACAGCTACCTCTCCTGTCTTGTATACCTATAGAGATTAAAAAGACCGTGATATTCTGTAGGATAATAAAAATATTATGTTTCATTAGTCGGTTTTAATTATAACTTTGTACAATTTTAACAGATACCATTATGATAAAACTTTTTTAATGTTGCGTTCCAAATATCTTCTAGTGATTGTTATTTCAATGCTCTACAAAAATCCGCAAATGAATGAACTTATAAAAGGTATTTTACTTTAATAATGCTATTTGGCATTATTCTGTTAAATACTCTATATTGGACATTTTTATGAGCTTTTTCTGGTGAGCGTAGGTAATCATTACTTTGTAAATCCCATTTAACAAAGAGGAAAATTGGATTTTCCCGTCAAATTAGGCGTATATTAACATAAAACTGTCGTATTTTATCTAAATCGTATTTTTTTAATTGAAATTGAATGGCGCTCAGACTTACTCGTATATAAACTCTATTTTCTCATTTTAGTAGTCTGTTATTTTTCACAATGTTTTTGGATACGTTCTTGGAGAACTTGGTGAAAATACAATGTGCTCTGTCGACGATAGCAGATGGAATACACCCCACCAGTTTCAGATATCCACAGTCAGAATCTGGTTTGCAAGGTAAGCTTTCTTTCTGTTACTCTTATACAGGTGTGATTTTGTAAAACAACGCCAATCTCAGGGGTAGTAGAATAGACGACAGTGATGTCAAAAAAATATACAGGGTGTCCCGTAATGCAACGTCAAGCCGGAACTGGGTGTTGTGGTAAGTTATGCTGGTTATCAGAAAAATATTAAAAAAAAATCTATGTGACATTTTGTCAAAATAATAGGCATTTAAAAAAAACAAAAAATTCTACTCCCGGTGACGGTCTTTTTACTCGTGTTGCCACAAATCTTCACTTTTTTCATTTTTTTTTTGTTTTGTAACCCTGAATAATGCTTCTCTAAATTGTTATTAAAATTACAAAACCAGCTGCTCCAGCTTGGATGAAAAAAATACATTATTCCCAAAAAAATTTTCAAAATAAACATTTTGGCTAGTTTAAACTAACTGTACTGAAAAAAAATTGTACTACGCGAGTGTGTCAAGTGACGTCATAATTTGGCGCATTTAGTAAGGATTCCAAAATGGTATAACACTTGGTAAATTCTTGCTGTAATTGTCGACAATTTTTGTTGTGGAATAAGTGAAGATTTGTGACAACACGAGTAAAAAGACCGTCACCGGGAGTAGAATTTTTTGTTTTTTTTTAAATACCTATTATTTTGACAAAATGCCACATAGATTTTTTTTTATATTTATCTGATAACCAGCATAACTTGCCTCAACACCCAGTTCCGGCTTGACGTTGCATTACGGGACACCCTTTATAAAAATGCCTTTAAAAAAAAAGGAAAAAAATATATGAAATCAGGAAAATGGTATTATTATGCGGGCGAACTATCGGTCAGTCCCCCGGCTCTGCTGGGACGGCGGCCGCATGTGCTCGGTGGTGTAGCGTGGTACACAAGGTAAACAAGATTTTTACTAATTAAGTAATAGTAAAAATTTTATTTATATTTTTTTTGTAATTATTTTCATGTGTACTACCACCCCTGAGATGGGCGTTGTTTTACAAACCACACCCTGTATTTTTTTGTTTACCAATTTTTTTCCATATAATAATCCTATAAATATTAACAACAATGACAGATGGAGCGTCGTTTGACTTCGTGATCGTGGGCGGGGGCACGGCAGGCAGCGTGCTGGCAAACAGGCTCACGGAGGACCCTAATGTATCCGTCCTGCTGGTGGAGATTGGTCCCGACCCTCCTATGGAATCTAATGTAAGATATACCTACTAAAGTTATGTACATTTTTATCTCATTCCAAACAATCTGGTGATTTACCCACGCAATTTCCAGGTTCCAGGTTTGGCCAAATATCTAATAAACTCAAACCTAGATTGGAGCTACAATATAGATGAAGATGAAGACGCATTTCCATGTCTAGCAGACAACAGATATCGCGGACATCAAGGAAAAGTGTTGGGGGGCAGCAGCAGTATCAACGGAATGTATTATGTGCGGGGACATCCAGAAAATTTCAACTTATGGGCCAGAGCCGTAAATGATTCGTCTTGGAACTACAACAACGTACTACGATATTTCAAAAAGAGCGAACGTCTTGAAGATCTCAGCATCCTTCGTTCTAGAGACGGAAGGTTCCACGGCACTAATGGATATATAGGAGTTACCAAAGTTAATAATACTTATACAGAAAAATTCAAAGGTGTTTTCCGGGAAATGGGATACAAGTTTGTTCGAGATATAAATGGGAAGGACAATATTGGATTCAGTGAGCAACTGATAACATTTGCAAGCGGTCTTCGTCAAAGTACTGCCGTCGCATTTCTATCTCCCATCAAAAATCGCCCTAATTTACACATTTTAAAAAATACCCTCGCAACAAAGGTTGTTATAAATGATAAAACTGCAACAGGCGTTGTAGTGACTGATAATGATAATAATACTATTACCATAAACGCAAACAAAGAAGTAATACTTTCGGCTGGATCCGTCGGTAGTCCACAGCTGCTGTTACTGTCAGGAATCGGCCCAAGCGAGCAGTTAGAGAGTTTAGATATAGAAGTAATTGAAGATCTTCCCGTTGGAGAAAATTTGCAAAATCATCATGTTGTATTTTTAGTACTTAAGTTACCAGATCTAGATGAGTCAATTCCTGTAAATCCTTATGATTACACTTCTTCTTTGGTGACCGGACATGTGTCGCTGAATGCATCAGCAACATCACCTGATTTCCAAGTTCTTGCACAAGTTATCAACGATCAAGGAGTCGTTTCTGATTGCATAATGTTCAATTATAATGATCAAATCAGTGAACACTTTTATAATAAAGTGAAAGGTCACAAAGTTGTGTACATGGGAATCACGGATGTAAAACCTAAATCACGGGGGGTGATTTCATTAAAGAGTTTGGATCCAAAAGAGAGTCCATCGATTAGTGTCCGCCCGTATGCTGAAGAAGAAGATTTGGAAAATATAGTGAGCTATGTACAAAATATAGGTCGGATTGCTAATACTACTTATTTGAAGAGCATTGGAGCAGAGCTGGTGACGTTGCCGAGTTGTGAGGACTTTGAGGTGGGGAGCCGAGAGTACTGGAAGTGTTACGCGCGGTGTATGATCAGTACAGGGTTCCACTACGTGGGCACGTGCGCCATGGGCTCCGTGGTGGACAGCCGGCTGCGCGTGCGCGGCGTGGAGAGGCTGCGCGTGGTGGACTCCAGCGTTATGCCCTATATCACCAGCGGGAACACAATGGCGCCCACCATCATGATCGCTGAGAAAGGAGCTGACATGATCAAGGAAGATAACAATATGCGTGTTTGGAGAAGTTAAAAGTTTGGAAAATTACGCGAATTGTAAAGAAAATGTTTCCACCATTTTGATATTATGTCTCATGTAACATCAATTAGCTACCCATGATGTTCATAAATTTTTCTTGTTTATTGACTGTTATTTTGCTATACGCTATCATTTATTTATTTATTTTAATCTTTAATGCCATACACATTGATACATAAGGCGAACTTAAAGGGTGATTTACACGTGTTAAGTAGATAAGTAGGTGACTAAATTTCAAGTAGTAAGTACTGTTTACACGCAATTAATCACTTAAAATTAAGTTAATAATCTAGTTACCAACTTATCTACTTAACACGTGTCTATCAGTTTACCTTGGGGCTAAGCCCAATCATAAAAAAACTTAAACTGCACATTAGCCAAGATTATTAATTAACCTATTAAATGATTAATGACACCTTTTGTATCACGATTCACGTTTATATTACTTATGTCCTCGGCTTCACCCGCTTCATCCTCACGGAATTTTCACCCAGCGACACCCGATCAAAATTCTGTCACAGAATTTTCACACCCGATCAAAACAATCATAATTTCTTAGCAATCACACTTGATGATGAAATTAGTGGTTCCTTAGACAAACTTTACATTATTTTCATCTTCCTTCTCCAAGTACGACCTAATTACTACTTAATATCATGAAAATAAGTTTAGAATTTTAGATGTTATTACCTAACTAGGTTCGGATGTTTAACAAACAGACGGTACCTTCATTGCTCATATTAGTATAGATTTTAATGGTACATTAATTAACTTCTTTAAGTAGGTACCTTCTTATGGCTTTCAATTGTTTCATACAATTCATAAGTAAATAATATCTAGGTACCTACCTTGTTCAATGTAATTTGATAGGATAGTTGGTAATAATTATTTTTTTTGGCATTCGATACATATAAAAATGTTCTTGGACGCGTTTTTGGCAAACATCGCGAGAATACAATATGCCTTGTCGACTCTGGCAGAGTTGCAGCTCACCGCTTTCAGATATCCACAGTCAGATACTGGCATACGAGGTATGGCTATCCTGTCTGATCTTCTCAACCATATTTTATTTCCTTATTTACCTACACAGTTTCCGTGCTTCATGAAATAGTCAAAGTCGTAAATACCTACTTACTTAAATATTTATTTAACACAACTAGGTATAAGGGCCTTATTACAAAAATGTTAAACCCGGGACGAACTCTGGTTTAAAGTGACAATTCCATACTAAATGTCAATTCAAACCGAGTCTAACTTTTTGTAATAAGTGGGTTAGAGACTAATGCAAAAAATAAAAGGGTACTAGGAAAGGCATAAATCCAGCAGTGGTCTGTTGAAAGCTAGTGATGACGTTGGCGATGATGATAATAACAAATGTGTTATTTGAATGACATCTATTAGAAGATTTAAAAAAATGCTAGAATACTACTACATGGTGATATATATTGTATGCAAAGGAAATACAATAAATTACTCACTAATTTTATAGATGGAGCAACATTTGACTTTGTGATCGTGGGCGCGGGCTCAGCAGGCAGCGTGCTGGCCAACAGGCTCACAGAAGACCCGAGGGTGACGGTGCTGCTGATAGAGGCAGGCCCCGACCCGCCCATAGAGTCCAATGTAAGATAACAAATAAATCATTTTGTAGAGTTTTATCAAACCGCGAATCAAATAGAAATTAATTCCTACTTTCTTAAGATTGCAGGTTTATCCCCTTACCTTTTAGATTCATACGTAGATTGGACTTATACTTCAGATAAAGATCCAGAAGCATTTCCATGTCTCGCAGACTACAGATACCGCGCGCACCAAGGCAAAACGTTGGGCGGCTGCAGCAGTATCAACGGAATGTATTATGTTCGTGGACATCCCGAAAATTTCAACTTATGGGCCAGAGTTGTAAACGATCCGTCATGGAACTACTCTAATGTGCTTCGATATTTTATGAAAAGTGAACGACTTGAAGATGCCGATATTCTGAATTCTGCTGATGGAAAATTCCATGGCACTCAGGGATATCTTGCCATCACCAAGGTCAATAATAGTGATTCAGAAATATTCAAAGAAATTTTTCAAGAAATGGGATACAAGGTCGTTCGAGACATAAATGGAAATGACAATATAGGATTCTGTGACCAATTGGTGACATTTGCAAGCGGTCTTCGTCAAAGCACAGCCAACGCATTTTTGTCTCCCATCAAAAATCGCCCTAATCTATACGTTTTAAAGAATACCCTCGCAACAAAAGTGAAATTTAGTGGAAATACTGCAACAGGTGTTGTAGTGACTGATCATGACAATAATACATTTACAATTTATGCAAGAAAAGAAATTATAATTTCGGCAGGATCTGTAAGCAGTCCGCAGCTGCTGTTGCTATCTGGGATTGGCCCAAAAGAACAATTGCAAAGTTTAGGTATAAAAGTAATAGTAGATCTTCCCGTAGGAGAAAATTTACAAAACCACCACATCACATTATTACTGATTCGCATTCCAGAAAGTCCAACATCAATGCCTGTAAATCCTTACACTGTAACTTCTATTTTGCCCACCGGATTTTTGACGCTTAATGCATCAGAACGATCGCCTGATTTCCAGGTTCTACCTTTAAATATCAATGATCAAACCTTTGTTTCAAATTGTATAATGTTTCATTATCAAAATAAAATCTGTGAGTATTTTTATAATAAATTAAGAGGTAGTAAAGTTGTGTATATAGGAATCCAAAACGTGAAACCTAAATCACGGGGTATAATCTCGCTAAAGAGTTTGGATCCGAAAGAGAATCCATCGATTAGTGTCCGACCGTTTGCTGTGGAAGACGATTTGGAAAACTTAGTGAGCAATGTACAAGACATAGGTCGGATTGCAAATACGAGTTATATGAAGAGTGTTGGAGCTGAGCTGATATCGTTGCCAAGTTGTCAGGATTTTGCGGAAGGGAGCCGGGAGTACTGGAAGTGTTACGTGCAGTGCATGATCAGTTCAGGGTTCCACTTCGTTGGTTCTTGCGCGATGGGCTCTGTGGTGGACAGCCGGCTGCGCGTGCTCGGGGTAAACAGACTGAGGGTGGTAGACTCCAGCATCATGCCTTACATCACCAGTGGGAACACCAACGCGCCCTCCATCATGATCGCTGAGAAAGCGGCTGATATGATCAAGGAAGCCCACAATATGCGTTGTTGAGGAACATAGATTTAAAATTTTAAACCTACATCTGATTTAGGAGTTATAACTCAAAATTTTATTAGACCCTTTGATATTGTAACATCAAGTTACAATAAAATAATGTGTGAACAAATGTTTTGTGTTTACTTATTATGTGGGTATGTTTCATGGGTAATTTTACCTCTAAATGAAGCCCTTTAATTAATTTGTACCTAATCATTAAATGCACAGTTCCAATCGATTAGATTACGTTTCCGGCATTCTGGATATGTGAACAGATATAAATTAACCTACCATAGAACACAAAGGTACACAGCAATCGCATTCAGTAGGGCATGAAACATATAAAAACCAATACACAAATTATGTACTATCATCTATGCTACCATAGTAGTCTACGATATTGAGGCATTGTGATTCCATCAGTATTCTTAAAGATGTAGGTAATCGAGTTATGATTTTCTCCTGTCATCAAGTGGGCTATTTTCTTGAGTCCCTTATTAATATAATCCAGGCCCTTTCAAGGTGAGAGTGAATAGGCACTTACTACAGTTACAGAGCAGTTAATGTACCATCCTAGACATCTTTAACAACAGGCACCAACAGGTGCGATTGCGATCAAACACTTTCTTCTCCTTAAGCTGCATAAAAAAACATTGTTATCAATTTAGCTCTATTCTCTTGCAAAATCCAAAGTTGCAAAACCATAAAATAGTCTTTAACATAATTAAGTTTCCAACTATTACGAAAATGTCAGCCAATTCTACCTACTGCATCCGTTTTATTTGTAGGTAGGCAGTTTAAATTTCCCAAGCGTGAGGCACAATTACGGATTCGGTTAGGCGCGGATTGACGTGTGTCGATCGCTGAACGGGTTAAATTAGAAAGTTCGGGTTAGGGCGGGAGGCAGTGATTAATTTAGTTACCTACACAGTTTCATTATTGATTTTAATTGTATCATCGCAGATTATAAGGCCTCCATCATCATCATTTCAGCCACAGGACTTCCACTGCTGAATATAGGCTTCCCCCAATGATTTGCAGATTGGCCGGCAATGACCTGCATTTAGCGCTTTCCTGCAACCTTTATGTGGTCATCTGTTCACCTAGGTCTTACCACGACAATTTTGTAGGTATAATGTTAATTTAGAAAACAATCTATCAGACGACATCATAGATGGCGTTTTGAAAATCACACCTCTGTTGTTTTCGTCCGATAACCGAAACAAAAGAAATACATCATAATTGTATAAAACTGGTCCTTCGTCAGTTCCCGGCCTATCTCCCGTTGCAAGTAGGGTTGCCAGGTGTCCGGCTTTAGCCGGACATGTTAGGCTTTTTACGGTCGTATCCAAATATTGTGTTGTCCGGCCTGTCCGGTTTTTGTTAGGCTTTATATGTGGCTGTCGACGCCAGGCAAAAGTCGAGCCACAGATTATTATGAAGCGCACGTATCATTTTGGGAAACCGATAGTATTCACTCGTGAGCTATGACAGTAATTGTCCCGTCATTATGTCCGGCTTTTAGGGTAAAATGTCCGGCCGAATGAAACACAGAGTCCGGCTTTTGTGTTTTTGGACCTGGCAACCCTAGTTGCAAGTGCCCCTGCATTATAAATGGCCGAGTCAATCCCCGATTGCGAAACATTAACACTAGAAGTGCCGAAGATTACGACCCCCCTAAAAGCGCCGCTGGGTCAATTTTGTCCCAGCATGTATTTTGTAACATTTTTTAGTTTCAGGCATGAATTTCATGGTTTAAACTATTTGTAGTATCCTTAAAATAAGGTTAATCTATGTAGTTAAATCAATATGTACTTATTTCTTTAAAAATATAAATGTATTCAATATTAATTTTGAATTATTAAAAGTCAGATATTTTTGGTTTTATTTAAAAATAGTCACATATTACGTGGTGTTATACTGTATTAAAATAATGAAATTACTACTTTAACTAGTCATTATTATTTTTAAAGAAAAAAAATAAATATCTTACAAATAATAGTGCACATTTTGCATAAAGTTTTTTTGTGTGGTTTTTTGTCTCTTTGGTGTACTATGTGTTTAGGAATTTCTATAGGTATGGTTATTTTTCTGTTATCTGTACACAAACAATGAAGTTTTTTACCAATTACAATGAAAAGTATGTACGTTTAATCTTCAACATTTTATAAGTCACACATTTTAAAAATGTATCAAATCATACAATGTATGAACTGGATTATGTCTAGAAGCCACCTTCCTACTAATATTATAAATGTAAAAGTGAATAAATATTGATGAATTGAAGGATGAATGGACTGATGAATGGATAGGAAGGATGAATCTTCTAAATATATAAAAGGAGAAACTGACTGACTGACTGACAGATCAACGCACAGCCTAAACGGCTAAACGTAGGCACTTGAAATTTGGAAGGGACGTAGCTTAGGTACCGTAGAGGTGCACTAAGAAAGGAATTCCCGAAATTCCCATGGGAACGGGAATTAGCGGGAAAAACGGGATTCACGCGTACGAAGTCGCGGGCGGCCGCTAGTGGGTGGATATATGCCTAGAACTTGAACTAAGTGAGTATGGATTCATGGTTAGATCGATGGATGTTTTTTCACTCTTTTACGCAAAAAATACTAAGCCGATCTTAATAAAACTTTGCAGTTTTATTGTTAATACTTCAGAATAACATAATATAGGCTATAATTTAGAATAATATTCAGTTATTTGGTCAAAAAGCAACGAGAAGTGTCAAGAAATTAGGTCTTTCTATGATAAACTTAATTTCTCACGGGTGAAGTCACAGGCAAAAACTAGTGCAATATATTTACATTTCTGCATTGTCACGAGTCACCTAAACCACAAAATATAACAGAAGGTAAACTCATGTATGTACCTCGCTTTGCATACCTCTCTCGCTCGCACGCTCGGCCGTCGCGCTAGGGTTGTCTTGTCATGTGTTGCGTTTATTTTGTTATGATAGNATCCAACTAATATTATAAATGCGAAAGTTTGGATGTCTGGATGTTTGTTGCTCTTTCACGCGATCACTACTGAACGGATTTTGATGTAACTTTACAGTATTATTGTTTATAACCCTGAATAATATATAGGCTATAATTTATGACGATCTGTGACAAACTAAATTTCACGCGGGTGAAGCCGCGGGCAAAAGCTAGTTATCTAATAATTCCTAAAACCTCTCTAAACAATTCGATATTCCTAATAATTGAGTTGGCTTTCAATTTCAATTGAAATTCAAATAAATAACTTACTTACCTCCCCGAATCAACTGGTAATTTAAAAAATGAAAATTCGGCATTTAATGATGAGTTTAAGCAACCAAATACCGAACAATTAAAATACGACTTTTTCTGTTCACTCATTTTCGTCAATTGCGCAAAACAAAATAATATCACAGGCGGTTGACCGGCGCGTGACTCAAGCGAACCACAGGGAACGTGTGGCGAACGTCTGTCTGTCGCGCCACGTCGCGCTCGCATTCGTCCAAGACAGTCTTGCTCGAGCGGTGTCTGTCTATGTGTGCGTGGCTCGAGCGCGTTTAGTATGGAGTTTGTCTTCTGTTATATTTTGTGCCTAAACTCTCCTCACTCCTCCACTTTCGTATCTCCACGAAAAAAGGACTCTTCATCGAATTATTGTGGCAAATACCAGGGTTGGACAAAATTGACCCAGTGGCGCTTCTAGGTAAAACCGATTTTTAAATTTTTTTTATTAATGTTATATTATCAAAAATACTAAAAAATGATAAAATTCAATAAATCAGAAAAAGTCAAAAAGTTTCATGGAGTTTCGTTGAAAAATAAAAAAGTTAGAGACGATCAAACTCGCGAGTGGGACAAAAATGGGACGGCGGCCTTTCTAGTGTTAACTCGTCGCGGCGTGACAGGGGTCGACAGAGATGGACAACCCCGCGTTGACATTTAGATAAAATCTACAAAAGAGTTTTGTTAATTCATTTTTGCACTTCCCAAAAGGACTCCGTTCATTTGTCAAGCATCATCATCCCTACGTTTATTTATACCCCTGATGCACTGATGACAGATGCACTCAGTTTGCGTTTTTTCTATGCGTTCCCAGGAACTAGGTAGGCTGTCTCGATTTTTATACAATTTTTACCAATAGAAAGTATTTCTTTTTAGTAAGCATTTGTAATTTTAAAAAATAACTACCTTACATTCTGGCAGGAAGGTCAACCACAGGCTCAACACAATAGGCTAGATTACAAAATTTCAATTATTTGTCCGTCAGACAGATAATTAGAAAATATCAGATTCATATTTTTTATTTTCTTTCATAATTAAATAATAACAGTGCTACATCGAGTTGAAATGGTGCGATACGTCACGCTTGTGTAGAATTTTTACTCAAAAGTGACGTCACGAGACATTTCAACTCAATATAATACTGTAATTATTGGATATGGAAAAAAAATGAGTCTAGTATTTTCTAATTATCTGTCTGACGGACTAAATAGAATTTCGATTTCATTACCCAATCATCATCCCTATTACACTATAATACACACGACTGATAAAAAATTGAATTAGGTCTAACATCCATTTTGCACAAAACAAAAAAGGACAATAAAATAATGTACGGCCAGTTTCTTCAATAAGGGTCAGATTTACTCAATTTCGAAAGATCCAATTATAAAAAGCCCCTCCTTTAGCCGCTTTGTAGCCTTTTCGGTATCTCATCAGGGCAAGTTATTTCGTTCCGGGAATCCGGGGTTCTTAGGAATTCCAAAGTCCTTGTGTGGGCTTCTTTAATTACTGTCAAGCCAAATATCGACCAGAATAGTGTAATAGGGATGTTTCCTGGGTAAAACAATACGAGTTTGAATTAGTCCGTCGGTTAATTTATCAAAAAATACTCGACACGTATTTTTCATTTTTTTAAGCTAATGAAAATTTAACAGAAGCTAAGACACAGCGTGCACAGAAGCTCAAAGTTGCACAGCGTGCTATGGAGAGGGCTATGCTTGGTGTTTCTTTACGAGATCG